TATATTAATTACTTCATAGATTCTCTTTTATATTGATTACTTCATGGGTTATAATTTTGATTATTTATTTGTTGATCTTCAATGAGAACGGCTTCTGATAGATCTAATAGAAGAAGATGAGACTTTCATTGTTTCTCTAATCTCTCCCGGAACTGAAATATCACATATGTAAGTAGCACCTTTAATTTCCTCTTTCGTTCTTGGAGCCRGTTTTAATGACTAAAATTTATTATCCATTTTTAAATATTAGTTTCTTCAAAGATGTTGTAGAAGTTGTTCATGTTAGGCTTATTGTAAACCACAAGGACAAGAATCTGAGTTTTGTCTTTGTCGAAGCAAAGAATGTGAGAGTGGTTTTATATAGTAATTGATGAAAAGTATTTTAGTAGTCACTTGAAAAAGTAGTGTATACGTATTATGAAAATTATATAAGTAGGTTCCTGAAAAGAAGAACGGTGAATGTTTTCAAAATCGCATGATATATTTTTTTTTGTGTGGCTAAGGCAGCTCCATATCTTCCACGACCCAAGTAAATCGATTTTCCATGTTGTGAAGATTTCTTTATATAACACTGGTTGTAACTTCTTGCTACAGTGTTGATGCCATTACAGAATATTAACACTATATTATTTTTCTTAATTAGGTATTGCATAGATCACAATTTTTGGTGAGGGATTTAACTATTTTCATCTTGTGTTTATTATCAAGAGCACATTGGGTGAAGTTTTTGGTATACATGGATAGATCACATGGGTTTTTGATATTTCAGGTACGATGACTACCTTCCAAGAGAAAGACTTTTGGTAGAAAGAGATGAGGCAGTGGAAGGACTTGAAGTAACTTCAGGTTTGGTTGAAGTACCTCTTCTTATTATCTTCAAAATGTCAGCCTCAAAAGAGACGTTTAGCACAATTGATTGAGGAAGATGATAGAATTAGGGATTTGAGAAATTGGTTTGGGGGGTTTTTTTATCTTTTGTCAGTTTGTAAAATTGTGTCGTTTTAGTTAACGTTTACAGTAAACGTCGTTTAATGACTAATAAACAAATGTTAGTATTGACTAATTACATACCTAAAATGATTCAGTCAAAAGTCTGTATTTTATTTGGCTCATTAACAAGTTCATATTTAATTTGGCTGAAAGTTGATAATAAAAACGGCCGTTTTCCCCATAATAAACTCACTGTCATCAATTATTCTAAACTTCCTAGAAGGGATTAACAGAACTGAGATTATGTACAATATTAAAATACTAATGGTGGATTATCGTAAATAATACAAATTCCATCAGATGGTTTCCTTAAAATACCGAATTTATCCTCCATTTGTAATTGCCTTTAAAGCTACCACCATCGTCGTCGATAATAGAGGTGGAATTATTATCCGGAATCCGAGAACCGATCCGTTATCTGTTCGGAATCGCTTCGAAAATTAAGATATCTGGAGAGTCCGGATCCGGATAAAGATAGTAAAATCTAGGATCCGTGAAAAGACGATCCGGATAACAAAATTTTAAAGTCCGGATATCCGGATCCGGATCGGACGCATTAAATATATTAAAAACATATATATTATATATCTATTAAGCTAATTTTATATAAATAAATATATATAAAAATTGATTTTAGTTTTTTTTATAATAAATTATATTTAAAATGAAAAATATCATTTAAAATATTAATTAATAATTTTTAAAAATATGTTTTTATTTATTAATTATTTTAATTATTTTTAATATTAATTTCGAATCCGGATCCGGATCCGGATATCCACGGATATCCGGTTTTTTTGTCGGATATCCAGAGTCCGGATATCCGGAGGTCCCGATTCCGGATCCGGATAGTTTTTTTTCACGGATCCGATCCGGATACCTTGAAATTCCAGGATATCCGGATCCGTTCCACCCCTCGTCGATAAGACAAAAATATACGACGCGTTATCGTAAAAAATCGTGACCGCTCATCTTGCCACGTGTACATAATAAATGGGGAAATAAACTCGGCTCCTTGGAGAAGACGATGATATATAAATCCTTTTTTTTTGGGCAAATCTGTGTTTGACATTTTTCCAGAAATTCACCAGATCTGCATCGAAGACCGTTTACCGAATCTCTAGCTTTAGCCATGGAGAAACCGTACGGATACGCGAGCGTGAGCGGTGTCGATCGTGCCGGAGACGGGAAGAAGGAGATCGATCTTGAGATGGGAGTCGGAGAAGCGACGCTTTACCCAGGTCTAAGCTACGGCGAGAATCAACTCCGATGGGGTTTTATCCGTAAAGTCTATGGGATTCTCTCTGCTCAGCTTCTCCTTACCACTCTTATCTCCGCCGTTGTTGTTCTTAATCCTCCCGTCAACGATCTTCTTACCGGATCTCCAGGCCTTCTTCTCTTTCTCTGCATCGTTCCTTTCGTCTGTACGTAGTAGATCTCATTCTTTTGATCTCAGATTCCGATTTCATTAGAATTCTTACGGTTCGATCTGCGTTTTCGTTTTTTTTTTTTTGTCGGCGAATTCGTGTTGTTCTTGATTGGATTATGATTGAGAATTTCTCTTAACTAGATTTGATAATTTCTTTTGCTGTGTTTAGAAATTTGATTGTTTAGTTTATGTAACCTGGAGGATTGATTGAACATGATTTGTTATGATGATTGGCAGATTGGTGATGTTTATAGGTGTGATGATATCTATAGTGTTAGTGTTAGGATTCAGAACCGATTTTGTTTGCTTTATTTCTCACTGAAATGTAGAACAAAGAACAAAACCTGAGAAACCTAAGGATGTAATCAATCAAATGCTCGAGAACCCCGCAGATCTGTTTAATCCCCATTTATCTTCATTCTTCCTTTTTAACTATCTTGATTGTGGTGGTGATTTGACGTTATGTCTTTGTGTGGAGGTTTCTCTTGGTGGCATCATTTGCTCAGATAGTAATCTGTTAGTACCTTGAATTAGTGTTGTTATATGCAGGAAATGTTTTGTATGGCACAATACTTACTCGTTTCTGGATATGAGCTGTATAAGCATTGATAGTACATCGATATTTCTTCTGCATGCAATTGACAATTGGGAAATAAAATTGTTTTGCAGTAATCTGGCCTCTTCACGTTTACCATCAGAAGCATCCTGTTAACCTGATACTCCTCGCCCTCTTCACTGTCTCATTGAGCTTCACTGTTGGTGTCAGCTGTGCTATGACTGAAGGTCGGTATCTCTTTCCCTTTTATATGTTTCTTATCAATAATCTGTGATTTAGTCGTTGTTCCAGCCGCTTCTTTACTCACCTTATCGTTCATTTTGCCTCAACCTTGGAATAGCAAAGTGTTAAAAAGTCATATTCTCTCTTTTTTTTTCTTTGTTTCCAATCGTCGTGTTTCCAGGAAGAATCGTGCTTGAAGCCTTGATATTGACACTATCTGTGGTCGGATCTCTAACCGCATACACATTCTGGGCTGCAAAGAAAGGAAAAGACTTCAGCTTCCTTGGACCCATTCTCTTCACTAGCCTCATCATTCTTGTAGTGACCAGCTTCATCCAGGTCAGTCTCTTCAAACCTAACACTCAGATTCCACACAAAACATAAGAAACAAAAAAGGCTTAAGAATTTGTGGTTATCATAATCTTGCAGATGTTCTTCCCGCTTGGCCCGACCTCTGTTGCTATATACGGAGGCATCAGCGCATTGGTATTCTGCGGATACATAGTGTATGATACCGACAATCTCATCAAGCGTTTCACGTACGACGAATACATCCTTGCGTCAGTGGCTCTCTACTTGGACATCCTCAATCTCTTCTTGACCATATTGCGTGTGTTGAGGCAAGGTGATAACTGAACGGGCAGAAGATGATGCTTCAGTGATGGGATTATTATAACTATAAGCAAGAGCCCAATGCCTTTTATGTGCTTTACATTTTGTGTGTATATCTGATTACTTGTTTGGAGATTTTAGTATATGATGATGCAGTATGGTTAAATATTTGGTGTTAAGCAAAAAATTGAAGCGAAATGTCGATTTTTCAACTTGAAATAAATTTTGTAATTTTGGAGGATTTTATCTGGACGGCTTGTCGTGTCCATTCAATAATATTCGGATTATTATTGATGCCAAACTCAGCGGTTCAAGTTTGATCTACTTCCGAAAGATGAACTCTAATTTTTGTATTTTTCTATCTTTTTTGTATAATCGTACTTTCTTACTACTAAATATTGGAAAATTTTCATAGAACTACCTCATCATTACCCTAATCGAAGCTTTGAGTCCGATTTCGGTGAGCTCTTAGTTCGATTTCGGTCGAATCGAGTAAACGAATAAATTTCCCTATGATTTTGGATTCCGATTTTTTCTTTTCTTTTGAATTGGGGGGAAAATATGTTCTGAATCGTCTTCGAGAAATAAACTTCACACGTCTTTTCAATTCTTAATTTATACAGTCAACGACAAATCCAAAGTTAAAATTGTAATCCTCCTAATTGGGAAATGAAAGTGACAATTGCAAATAATTTGGGAATAAATCGATCATTTTCCTACAAATGTGTATAGATATGTATATAATAGGTTAATGTATTTACCTTTAAAACATTGGGAATGTTTTGACCGTACTGATCCCATCTTACCCGGTACCTATCCACAATTACAGACGAAGACTGTACAACGAAACTCAAAC